ATCTCTCTGCAGCTCTGGCCGTGCCAGATGTGGAGCTAGAAGAGCTTTTCCCTCACGCTGTTAAGCCTTGAAGATCAGGCCTTAGGTGAGGATAAAAAACAGGAAAATCAGCGTTTTCCATAAAAAAACTGCTCCAGATGGGCACACAGGTCCTGCTTGCTCTTGGTTACCACCAACATGGGACAGTGTGGCCAATTGGGCAAAATCTGCTCAGAATGTCACCCAAGCAGAAAGAATTGTAACTCCAAGGCAGAGATGATGATAAAAAACAAGAAAATCAGTTTTGTGATGATAAAAAACAAGAAAATCAGTTTTTCCCCCCCAAAAAGCTGTTCCAGCTGTTAAAAATGTAACCAGATGGGCACACAGGTCCTGCTTGCTCTTGGTTACCACCAACATGGGACAGTGTAGCCAATTGGGCAAAATCTGCTCAGAATGTCACCCCAAGCAGACAAAAATGTAACTCCAAGGCAGAGATGATGATAAAAAACAGGAAAATCAGCGTTTTCCATAAAAAAACTGCTCCAGCTGTTAGAAAATGTAACCAGATGGGCACACAGGTCCTGCTTGCTCTTGGTTACCACCAACATGGGACAGTGTGGCCAACTGGACAAAATCTGCTCAGAATGCCACCCAAGCAGAAAAAATTGTAACTCCAAGGCAGAGGTGATGATAAAAAATAAGAAAATCAGTTTTTCCCCCCAAAAAAGCTGTTCCAGTTGTTAAAAATGTAACCAGATGGACACACAGGTCCTGCTTGCTTTTAGTTACCACCAACATGGGACAGTGTGGCCAACTGGACAAAATCTGCTCAGAATGTCACCCAAGCAGAAAGAATTGTAACTCCAAGGCAGAGGTGATGATAAAAAATAAGAAAATCAGTTTTGTGATGATAAAAAATAAGAAAATCAGTTTTTCCCCCCAAAAAAGCTGTTCCAAGCTGTTAAAAGTGTAACCAGATGGGCACACAGGTCCTGCTTGCTCTTGGTTACTATCAGCATGGGACAGTGTGGCCAACTGGACAAAATCTGCTCAGAATGTCACCCAAGCAGAAAAAATTGTAATTCCAAAGCAGAGCCCTTCCCCTGCAGCCCCTTGGCAGATCCAGCAGCAGCAGCAGCAGCTCCCCAGTGTTTTGTGGAAGCAAACTCCAGAACTTTGTGAAAGTTGTAAAGCATTGGACACATGCAGAAATTTCTCTCCCTAAAAGACATGTGTGCCTCTGGGAACTCCAGATCNCAAGGGATCTCTCTGCAGCTCTGGCCGTGCCAGATGTGGAGCTAGAAGAGCTTTTCCCTCACGCTGTTAAGCCTTGAAGATCAGGCCTTAGGTGATGATAAAAAACAGGAAAATCAGCTTTTTCCATAAAAAAAAAACTGTTCCAGCTGTTAGAAAATGTAACCAGATGGGCACACAGGTCCTGCTTGCTCTTGGTTACTACCAACATGGGACAGTGTGGCCAATTGGGCAAAATCTGCTCAGAATGTCACCCAAGCAGAAAAAATTGTAACTCCAAAGCAGAGGTGATGATAAAAAATAAGAAAATCAGTTTTGTGATGATAAAAAATAAGAAAATCAGTTTTTCCCACAAAAAAAGCTGTTCCAGCTGTTAAAAATGTAACCAGATGGGCACACAGGTCCTGCTTGCTCTTGGTTACCACCAGCATGGGACAGTGTGGCCAACTGGACAAAATCTGCTCAGAATGTCACCCAAGCAGAAAGAATTGTAACTCCAAGGCAGGGGTAATGGTAAAAAAGAAGAAAATCAGCTTTTTCCATAAAAACAGCTGTTCCAGCTGTTAGAAAATGTAACCAGATGGGCACACAGGTCCTGCTTGCTCTTGGTTACCACCAGCATGGGACAGTGTGGCCAATTGGGCAAAATCTGCTCAGAATGTCACCCAAGCAGACAAAAATGTAACTCCAAGGCAGAGATGATGATAAAAAACAGGAAAATCAGCGTTTTCCACAAAAAAATTGTTCCAGCTGTTAGAAAATGTAATCAGATGGGCACACAGGTCCTGCTTGCTCTTAGTTACCACCAACATGGGACAGTGTGGCCAATTGGGCAAAATCTGCTCAGAATGCCACCCCAAGCAGACAAAATTGTAATTCCAAAGCAGAGCCCTTCCCCTGCAGCCCCTTGGCAGGTCCAGCAGCAGCAGCTCCCCAGTGTTTTGTGGAAGCAAACTCCAGAACTTTGTGAAAGTTGTAAAGCATTGGACACATGCAGAAATTTCTCTCCCTA